TCTTTTCTCTGGTTTCCTGTTAATCCTTCTCCTCATTTGTTCTCTCCTTCAGTGGTGGAATCTCTGCTGACCTGCAAGACAAGAGGAAAAAGTTCCAGAACAAGAGAAAGAACCAGATCACAGACTCTTCTCAGCTCAAGACCTTCCTCTGCAAGAAGTTCAAACAGGTCAGATTTACTAAACACAACCTAAATACACCATTTATTTTTTTTACATTAAAAACTCTTAAATAGTGCTTTTACCTGCATCCCACTCAACTGAAGGTGAAGATGGTGACTAGCTGGTGAACATAGCATAACATTTTGGTAATGACTTGGTGGAGACCAAAATGATGCTGTTCTTGTGGCTGCTGGGCATTTAAAGCTAAGAGGCCATCTGTGCAAAAGGCTGCCCACCCCAGGCATGGTTCTGCTCAGAGGGGTTTTCTCACAAACTAGGAGTATGTGAAAAGGGTTTCTGCCTGCTTAACATTTAGAACTATGTTTGTGCACAGCACAGTAAAATGAGAGGAAGAGCAGAAAGCATCGTTACTGTTGCAGCAGCTGACGGAGTCGCTGCAGGTGAGGATCGCTTCAGCACGTCGGGTTCTTTATCATACTGTTGGCACACACAAGTCCCTCTGAATTAAAGGCAGGCAATTACCTAAATACTAATTAGTCCCGTAAAGTCTCGATGTCCTGGGCGGAAAATGAAACGGCAGACTCGTGCTGACGAATTAGTCTTCTCCATAGGTTGCTTTGGCAGGTCGCCACACACTGCTGGTTTCCTGCCAGAGAAGCTGAGCGCTGCCTCGGCAGCCACAGCCAAAACATACTGCTGGCTGTTCAGACGTTACTACATCAGAATCCAACAGCTTTCATGAGTATTTCTTTATTTTTGTCTTTCAGGGAACATGTACCCACGGAGACGAGTGCTGCTACTTCCATGACTCGGAGCAGACAAATGAACAGAAAACAGAGTGATGACTCTATATTTTTCCTTTATTTTAAAATAATCTTATTTCTGGAATTTGAATGGATGTTTGAATGTTGCACAGCAGACTGTTTTGGCTTTTAAAAGTTACTGTACATAACATTTCCATGATTTAGTTCTATACCAGAGGGTTTTTTCTTTTTGACTGTCAGCCTGTGTTCACACCAATAAAGTCATTGCTGTGAGCCTGTTTTTGATATTCATAAATAACATCAGGTGGACGATTATAATCTGACACACCTTTGTCACTCAAAAGGTCAAATCGTTATGAAAAGCACCTCTTTGTATAGTTTTTACGTTTCCACTACAAAAACAGTTGCTTGTATAGCACCTCAGCAGCCATTTAGCTTCTCACACTAAAAAACCCTTTTTGATCATCCGAGGCTTCACATCGCTGCGTGGTTGAAGACACGCTGGAGACAGCAGGCACAGATGACTGTCACTGGAAAAGGTCTGCAGCAGCAACAGCACAACATCTGTTCTGATGTCAGATTATCAGCAGTTAAATGCTGCTTCACTGATTAT